ACGAGAATGAATCTTCCTCTTTGTCGAGGAAGATTCATTCTCACAGGGCATGTCTGATTTCCTTTCTTTTTTTTTTGTTTTCTTTTGCTGAACGTTGTATGTATTTTTTTTTTTTTTTTTTCCGTGATGTCCTACCGGTTGTCCGAGGCTCGGCAATAAAGTTCGAGGCTCGGGAACGACCGGGCTACCGGTAGCCTGAGCCACGGGCCTTGACAACCGGTAGGTACTGGTGGTTTAACCAACAAGAAACATGCTAGTCTGCTATGGTTAATGATGCATTTGGCCTTGCCAGTGGCTACTTGGTGCTCACGCAGGACCGTCGAAGCTACCCCGCTGTGTAAAATATGCTCAGGAACTCGCGTTGACGATGTTCAACATTTTGTGTTGCAGTGTGACCTCACCCGACCCTTTTGGGATTGGTGGCGCCACGCCTCCGTTCCGATCCCGGATGTGCGGGCCAGATGGGATGATCGCTTTGTGCTTTTGGGGACAGCTTCTAGACGAACTCGGCCTTCTGATCGTTATTCCCATGCTGAAGAAACGCTACGTGCTGCCATTCTTACTACTTTCTGGAATCTTCGTAATTTGGCAGTCCGTAAGGGGGAACAGATAACCCCCACTATGATCAGAGCTGAAGTTAAATACAACATTAAACTGGCAATATCTGCAGAATGGGAGCTCCGTGTGCAGAAGAAATGTTATACTGCTAAAGCGCTCAAATGGTTTTGTACCAAATGGGGAGCCTTTGACGGACTGTGTACTGTCAACTTGCAGGGGGGGATCTTTCCTGCCTTGGTCTTTTCTGATTTCTTTTTGTGATTTTTTCTAGTGCTAATGAATGATGATAGGAATGATAGGGGTGTATTCCCATTGCCCTTCACCTTTGTCACAAAAGGTTGAAAGGTTGAAAGATACTGTGAATATTTGGTGATTGACTGTTTAGTTAACTGCACATTGTAGGGTTGCTGTTATAGGATAGTTACCTTTTAATCCTTCTGTAGTATAGTTCTCCTTTGCATCTTGTCTTCCCTTACTTCCTGTAGCTATCGATATGCCTTTTTCCATTCTTGTTTTGTTGTAGACTTTTGTAGACTTTCCAACTCGGCAATTACTGGTGCCGGGGGGCAGGGGTCCTAAGCGGTGAGATAACTGTGGCTGGGGATGAGACCGGCCGGGAGTGCCTCTCTCAGCCCTGTGTGCTGCAGTATTCATGTGAGGGACGCCGGGCCCGTTTCCCGGTTATAATAGTTTGGTAAAAAAAATAAAAATAATAAAAAATAGGCCGAGAAAGGTATAGCGAGTGTCTTTTCCCTGAAAAAGAAAAATAGAGCCTCATTTAAGCAGGAACCGACACCTCTTCAGGAATTGATTGCTGCAGCGAAGGCCTTGATTCGTCAGATAATTAGATCAGACTGGTCCCCCCAAGGGAGACATGCCTATAAGAACCGGTATTGGTTCAGGCAGACATGGGGAAAAGCTCCTGGCATGGTGTCCTTTTCTGAAGATGGAAATCTAAAACTCTCAGAGTGGCTGTCGTACAAAAGCAGCTGCCGGGGTGCGGCACTGTTGATAGGCCGAGTTAGGCCACAGATGAATTAGAAGGGTTAATGAGTTGTGTTGCTTAGTGGAGGGAAACGTGGTCGTGGTACTGTAGGCTGTGCTGGTTGTTGTTTGCTACCGGTAGTCTTTGACTTGGTTCATGTTTGGTTTGAAGTTAGGATGTAGTAGCTAGAGTAAGTAATTTGGCAATGGGTTTTCTGAAGGATTGCCCGGGTCCATTTTTTGGTCCCGTAAAAAGCTTAAGCTGGGTAAGGCTCCCAGAGTTTCAGTTCTCCCGGTAGACTGTGAGGACCCCGGCCTCAAAGATTACTTTTTTAATAAAGGTGAGCTGGTTTTGTTTACCTCATCAAGTCCCATCATCGTCTGGATTCGAACTGGGTTCTGCAATTCAACAAACAGTTCATGGGTGTACCCACTGAGTCAGACTCTTGGGTGAAGGTGTGTTTCTCCATTCAGGCATCCGTCCGGTCGGGTAGAACTTGACTTGTGGAAGGCCGTAGAATTTCTTTTCGCTTTGCTTCTGCTTAGTAGTCCACCAGCTTACCCAACGTGTTTAGCGATCCTGCGCCGGTAAACAAAGGCCGGGCTGGTGCGGTGGTAGCCCGGCGGGAGCCTCGGGGAACCCTCGGAGGAACCTGGAGCGGTGCTCACGGAGAAAAATACCACCCGTCAATCCCTCTCGCGATTGGTCAGGTTGGCAGCGGGGCAGGGTTTTGGCTTTCTTTTTGGGGTCCCCTCAGATTTGGCAGGTTCATGGTCGGGCAGAGGACAGCTGTAGAGAGTTATGTTCGGGGTATAGCTGGGAGTTTATAAAATCCTTTCGAACTTGCCTGCAAAGGAAGTCAGACTGAGTTGGGTACAATGATCGAGGCTGACGTAATCAAGCCTGGCAGGCAAACAACAGCCATTGATTTGACCTACACTGATGCTGATGGTTGACCTTTCGCTCTTCCAGTGCATGCATGGGTGCATGTCAACGACTTATGAGTGTTTCAGGTGTTTCTGCTGGCAATTGTGCAAGTGCTTCCTCGTTGTCTTTGAGTGGTCACTGGCAAGTCATCGTGCACTATCATGCTTGAAAGCAAGCCCTGATTTGCGACGTTGGGCTCGTCGTGGTCTCGGAGACCAGAGTCCACCCTGCGGGTGGTGATGAAACCTGCGAGCGTGCTCACCATCGACGAGAATGGTAGGGTTGTCGGCCGCTACGTAGGTGGCTGAAGGAGAGCTCGCTCATTGCCTACACTCCGCAGGGCTCTGCTGGCTTGCTTGCTTCCCCGTCAATGCGAGCAGCTTGCTGAACAATAAAGAGGGTTGACGGTCAGCGACCTAGGTGGCTTGCTGTCGACCGCAATTCTGCGGCTCTCGGGAGCCGGCTGAACGAGAGGCTTCTGCGTTCTGCGGCTCTCGGCAGGCCTGGCAGGAACTGGGAGACAATGTCCCAGGGAGAGAGGCATGGAGGAGGCTTGGACACACACCGCTTGCGCTCGCGGTGGTGGTCGATTAGGGGTTGAAGCCTGGGCTTATCTTACAAATTTGATCCCCAGCTATCACATTCGATAAACTGATTCTTTCTTTCTCCCCCCCGAAAAAAAAAGAACCTGATCCTTGCGATTGTATGACTATTATGATGATGATGATGATGATGACGATGATGATAACACCAACCCAGTTCGGGCATGCCACAATAATCCGCCGAAAAGGCAGCGGGCATCTGTAGGGTTTGATCTGTTTACCCCACAGCTGTGGGGGTGCTCAACAACCGACCGATGACTGGTGGCCGAAAAGGCAGCAGGCATCTGTAGGGTTTGATCCGTGTGTGTTACCTCACAGCTATGGTGCTCAACAACCAACCAATGGCTGGTGGGTTTGGAGGAACATGAGCAGCATGTATCGCATTCGGATCCGATAAAACAGGTATTGCTGCTGTAGTAGTAGTAGTAGTTGTTGTCTTCAGAAATCGGGGATCGTTCGTCTTTCCTCATCAGGAAAGAGCGGTAGCCATGCCTGCGTATATGGTAGAAGCCGATGAGTTGTTGTCATCATGTGGGTGAGCGTCAGAACAGCCTATCCGTGGTGGTACACAGTCGTTCGTGCAGTGCGGCCGTTCTTTTACGTGGTCCTTGTTGAAACGGCCCCATCTGGTCCCAGCCACAGGTTTTGCTACCGTGTCACTGCTTGCGTCCTCCTTCCACCTGAACCACTGGTAGTTGTTTCTAGAGTGTAGTTGGCCTCGTTCTCTCTTCTGCTGTTCCTTACTCACGAAAGAAGACGTTGATTTGAGTGTGACAAACACTACCGTGTCACTCACTGCTTGCGCACTCTTTCCACCTTAACTACCGGTACTTGTTTCATCATTGTAGTGGGCGGTGTTCTCTCTTGTGCTGTTTCTTAGTCGTAAAAGAAGACGTCGATTTGAGTGTGACAAACCCTACCGTGTCACCTTAACTAGGTGTTTCTAGAGTGTAGTGGGCCTTGTTCTCTGTTGTGCTGTTCCTTAGTCGTGAAAGAAGACGTCGATTTGAGTGTGACAAACAGTGGTTCGACTTTGCAGCGACTTTGCAGCCCTAACTGTGTGAGCAGAGAAGGTAAGATAAAGATATAATGAGATGCCTCGCTACACGACATCTCAAACTTTCACCGATGGTAACACTCAGATTGTGGCGCTTCCAGACCCTGTTGAGGAAGGGACGGCTCTTCAGAGTAAGTCGGTGGTCGATCCGGAGGCAGAGCCACTGGAGGTAAAGCTGCAGCGAATCACGGAGAAGGTACCTGTGAGGGTGGGGAATACCTCTGGGAGCTCTGCGGGCTCTGGCAGTGGAGATTTCCACCAGTACAGACAGATGCGACGCAAGGAACAGGATCGCCTGGCAAGGATGGAAGCGGATTACCAGTTGAAGAAGGACGCTGCAGAGTTCGAGGCTGGGAGGAAAGAGGTGTTGAAGATGCAAGAACTGAGGACAGCTAAGAGACAGAAGAAGGAGTCGAAGAAATTGGCAAAAACGGCAAGACAGGCAGAGGATGCCGCTGGGGGTAGACGGCATCCCATAGCAGAAGAGCAAGAGTCCGATGAAGACGAAGATGACGGGGATAACAATACGCATAATGCAAGCAGGAAAATCTGAGAGAGCACATCCAGCTGCTCATGTGTTGATGTGTGTGTGTGTGTGTGTGTGTGTGTGTGTGTGTGTGTGTGTGTGTGTGTGTGTGTGTGTG